TTCAGTGATATAGGATGATTTTCATGAAATAATTTGACAAAAAAAACAAATTAATAATTTCGAATAGAAACATTTTTGATGTAGAATAATAATTGCATAACATCAAGTTCAAACTTGATGAAAAAAGGTTCAACTGTTGTTTTGAATGAATTGTAAAGATTTTTTTTTCATAAAGACCAAGGGTATGAGTGTGGGTATATTTCTTCATTCGGAAAACTCCCCGCAGCGTTTAACCCACATCTAAACTCTTCTTATTTTTTGTTACAGTCATCGATTATAACTGACAAAAATCAAAATTCAAAACTATAGTTTCATGGCAGATTGAAATTTCTTGTTTTTTTTTCAAAATCGAAACCATGAAATTCTAGATCAATTAGTGAATGATTTAAGTTTTTTCCATAAAATGGCTGTGCCAGAAAATGCAAAATATAAAAAGTGTCTCATAATAATCTCCGTTGAAACAAAATTGTTTTCGATGTAACTTGACAAATACATATGATCTTGACAGCATCTTTTTTTCAGGTAGCATTACTTCTGGCGTAATCTTTCTGACTTTGAAAAGATAAGATCTCTATTTATTAATATGACTGAGTTGTATCAAAAAGAAAAGAATCTCTTCAAAATTATTTTCACCATGTTAGCTTTCGTGAAACTCTAAGACTAATTGAGAAATAGTCTTCATTGGTAGGTCATGGCTTAGATGGTTGTAGCTGATAAAACGAAGACTTTGGAAAATTAATTATTTAAAAATTCAATCCCACTTGTACATATCTTTAGTTGAGTAACGTATCTGCAATGAAAAGAATTTGGTTTCGAATATCTCCATTTCTCGTTCATTAAAAATAATATTTACTTCCTTGATTTTTATATTCAGGTAAATTTCTATTATTTAAAAATGAATTACAACAAATAAATTCATTATTATTAAACGAATCGAAACAACTTATTGATATACTTCATTATTTATATGATTGTAATATTATTCATCGTGATATACGTATAGGGAATTTGATGTTTGATAGTAATAATAATCATTTAAAATTAATTGATTTTGATTTTGCCATTACTTATCAAGCGAAAAAGACACGAACAGCAGGTGCATTTATACTGGCTAGATATGAATTTTTAATTTCTGTTTTGGAAGCAGCATGAAAGTTGTCATTTCCAATTTGTTATAATTATAAGCGAACCTTTGATTTAGAGTGTGCATTAAATCTTATATTGTTTATGAATGATTTTGATGTCCATTAGAAGATTATGGCAATTCACGGCGTATCACCTCTTGTGAAACAAATAGATGCAGCAAAACAACTTTGGGAAAAAATTGAACAGAAACATGCAACATATTCAAAAATATTTCATAAAATAAAAAACATAACTGAATCATCGGCTTTTGATGCTATAAAAGAGGAATTAGAAGAGCTTGTCTGTTATTGAACAATTAAATATATATTTTTTTATTAATTTGATGTTCATGTCATTCATTGAAAAGATTAAGATGACTCTGCTTATCAACATTTTTCATTCGTTCATATTTTTCATTTTTTTGTTTGTTTGATTGTTGTTGTAACACTTGATTTCGTTATATATATATATAGAAAGTCTAGTTCATAGAGAAGTTAATAGATGTGTTCTGTTAAAAAAAAAGGTTTTCGACTGTAGAGATAATTTTCAAGAAACAAATCATTGCAGATAAATATGACCAGACTTGTTTATGATACTCGATAGCAATGTTGTCGATTCCATATGTTTATGTGTCAGGCAAAGTTGAGATTTAGATAGAATAAAATATAATTTAAAAAATCTTTTAATTTAAAAAAACAAGTTCTACAAAAAAATACTTAAATCAGTTTTAAAAAAATATTAATGATTCTAAGCGAAATTCCTTTCGAATTGATTTGAAATTTTTCGTTTTTAATAAAAACGATGATTAATAGCTCTATATTGAATTTTAATTGTACTAGTCAAAGAACATTTTTCTTGTTTAGTATTATTAAAAAGATAAAGTTCATTGTCTTCATTTTTCTCTCGGATGTCATTCGAAGACAATATTTGCTTTATGATTTTTGTTCATTAGTCACTAATTTTGTTTATGGGTAAGGACAAGATTTAAAAATGTGAAACCAGAATTATAATCGTAATCATATGGGTGTGGATGTGCGGGTGTGTGAGTGTGGGGTGTGCGTGTGGGTGTCGGTAAAAATAAAACTGATACCTTCATCTACCGACACACCACCATACCCACCATTTACATCAATTTCGGCGCTACCAGAATCAATAAAAGGCAGAAATTATCTGTGCGACAGAACACGTAGGATTTAGAACAAAAAGGAACAGTAATTCTCATTATCACTTTTTTCCAGATCTGCGAGCTAGTACACTAATGTTATTCGTAAATTAAGATTCTTGTGCACGCTATGGTCAGGATGATCTTCTTTTACCTTGAAAATGACTGAAACTTTTATGAGAATGAACCTCTAGTTCTATCAAGAAGTAATACATCAGTGTACTTAAATGGTAGATATCTTTTTAGTGTGCGCTTTTTCAAGCAAGAAGTCCATTAGTTTCCACTAGTATACTACCAAGCTTTCACAAGGCGTCGAAACAATGCAGAGCGATATTAATGTTGTACGAAATTTCAACAAAGTATCAGATACTGATTATCTGAAAACTCAGTCCACTATATGATAAACAATCAAAATCTCAATATCTTCCTAGTATCCGTACTTTTATTTTAAACACCTTAAAATTCTAATATCTCAATCGTGGCATCCCAAGGACAGCTAAGATATTAAAGTCAATAATTTGAGAATGAATGCAACATTTTAACTTCAATGTGGTCGATATTATTAGTTCACAAAACAAATGCCTTCATTTTAAATATAGAAATGTAAGATAACAAGTCTAAGGATACAGATATAAGAATATACAGTTATGACGATAGTTTTAAGCGTATATGTCTAAGGGTATAGGTGTAAGGATGTAGTCATGTGGGCATAGATGTAAGGATATAGTAATAAGAGTATAGTCTTAAGGACACACTGCTAACGACAAAAATGGTTGCAAATCGTATTTTTGACGGACACTTCCATGGGTAGTCAACCACAAAAAGCATAAGGTTCTCAGAAAATTGTGTCGTCTGTAGAGCTTTGTAGAGCTCGTTGCGCCGATCATTCTGGTAAAAAATGTATTCAAATTTAGTCAATAAATCATGGTGCTAAAGTCAAAATACTCAAAAACCCTTGACTATTCCTGACTGCTGCTAAGCGATAGTTAAGATTTTTGGGTATTTTGACTCTAGCACCCTTATTTATTGACTAAATTTGAATATATTTTTTACCAAAATGATCAACGCAACGAGCTCTACAAAATTCTACAGACGAAACAATTTTCTGAGAACTTTATGTTTTTTGTGGTTGACTGCCCATGCACGTATCCATCAAAAATACAATTCGCAACCAATTTATCGTTCACAAATAGGTATGAGAATATAGTCATAAGGGTATAGTTTTAATGGAATAAGTATAAGGATAGAGCCATGGGAATATAGTTGTACGAGTACAGGTATAACGATATAGTCATAAAGATATAGCTGTGAGAATATGGTTGCAAGGTATAGGTGTGTTAGAGTTTCTTTCTTTACTTTTATTTATTTATTATATATAGATATTAAATGTTATATGTGGTGATGTACATGCACGAACTTTATTATAAGAAATGAAAAATAAACATAACATATATAATATGTAAAAGACAAACGAAAAAAGGTGGCTGTGGGTGTTCTTCCTTCACCGAAACACACGCCCACACCCACTAGGATGAAACCGGTACCGGTCTGGATTTCGGATCGATGGGTCAACGGGTCTGAACCGGTTTAAATTTTATACTTTCTTACTTTTATTACTAAGATTAACGCAGCGTTGTAATTGATCGTAATTGTATTACTGGTAAACCGGTATTTATCGGTATTTACCGTTAGATCAGCTTCGACCGGTAGGGACCGGGCGAAGTACCTACGATTGGGGGATGTGAGGAGTTGGGGGGGAGGCATGTTAAGGGAGTATTGATAACTAAATTTCGGAAAAAAGGCCAAACATACAGAAAATCTACTATTGTCACTGAAAAAGGTTAAAATTTTCAATTATTGAGGGGGTGTACACCCCCACTTCCGCGGTCCCTGTGGACCGGTAGGTCGGTAAAATCGGTGTACCTGCCGATCCGGTCCGGTCTGGAAAAAAACTAGAATGTTTTCATCTCTGCGTAATATAAGGTCAACGTGCAATAAGGAAAGATTTGCATTGAATCTATTAAAATGAAAACGTTGTTATAAAAAAAATGATTCTGGTATAAAAGTGTAGCCTGAATAAAGCTCTATCAGCATAACTTCTGAACTCACTTCAACTCTATTTGTTTTCATGCAAACGAACGCTCACATTATTGGCTAGTATAAGCGGCCAAGTGCTCATTTCGCATGTAATAAAACTAAACTCAGTTTACACTTACAAATCCACTGAAAACATCTCAAGTTTTGCATCAAAGTGATCGGGAACTCATGATCTTTCATCCTATATATGACCTAATTAGGTTTGGTCTTAATAATCAATAGAGACCTAAATGCCTTCTTATGCGCCTCCGTCCTTGCGAATACTCACTTTCATGCGAAAAATCATATCTTATAAAAACTGTAGTGTTTTTGTCGAAAGTGTTTCCAGATGTAATTGGCAACGAATTAAGAAGGAACGTTTTGATCGAACCATTGGTTTGTAACTTTAGAAAGAAGCAATTCACATGCTCACATGCGTGGCTACGATGACCGTTGATCAGTTTTCCAATTCTTGATCAAGTTTGAAGCAACAAAAACCAAACAAATCACAATTCTATGGATAGTTCTATATTGAT